GAAACCTTCATAAGTTAATTTTAAATTTGAGACAAGCTGGAGAGTTGGCTCAGCAGCTAAGATCGGCCTGGGTTCGGCCCCCAGCATCCGCATGGTGCCTCATGAGCATTTGTCACTCCAGTTCCAGGGATCCGACACCCTCTTCTGACCTCCAGGAATGCATGTGGCACATATACATACATGCAGGCAAAACACTCGACACACATAAAATAAATAAACCAAAAAGAGATTAAAAATAACATAATATTGTGAAAATAAAGCCTTTCACACTGAAAAGCTGCACTCCGAATCATCTTTCAATCTAACCGTTGTCCTTGAGGCAGAGGTCTCAGGTAAAAGCAGAGGTGGGGTGTGCAAGGCCGTGGTTAGTGTGTCAGTCCCATACATGTTTGTGGTTAGTGTGTGTCAGTCCACCTTGCCAGCGAAGCAGCAATCACATCCGGAAACCCCCTGGACCCCAGGCAGAGCTGCACACTAGTAATCCCAGGCAGAAGTGGAGGAACTGGGGGCTGGAGAGATGGCTCAGTGGTTAAGAGCATTGCCTGTTCTTCCAAAGGTCCTGAGTTCAATTCCCAGCAACCACATGGTGGCTCACAACCATCTGTAATGAGGTCTGGCGCCCTCTTCTGGCCTGCAGGCATACAGACAGAACATTGTATACATAATAAATAAATAAATATTAAAAAAAAAAAAAGAAGTGGAGGAACTGAACTTCAAGATCATCCTTGGCTGCATAGCAAATCCAAAGTCAGCCTGGTGGAACTGCTGAAACGGGGGACAGATGGACAACAAATGCCACCGAGGGAGTTCAGAACGTTCCACCCCCATCAGCAAAAAAAGAAAAGAAAAAAAGGAAAAGGAAAGGAAGGAAGGAAGTCACATGAGTCACATGACCTTTGACCCAGCATCCCTGACACCATTCTGCAAGCACATTGTTCATGCAAGAATAAAGATGCTGCCAGGCAGTGGTGGTGCACACCTTTAATCCCAGCACTCGGGAGGCAGAAGCAGGTGGATCTCTGTGAGTTCGAGGCCAGCCTGGCCTACAGAGGGAGTTCCAGGATAGCCAGGACTGTTTCACAGAGAAACCCTGTCTCAACAACAACAACAACAAAATGCTTATCCCAACATTGTTATAAGAGCATGAAAATGGGATCAGGAACTAATCTGATGGCAAAGCTAACAAATGACACCTTTGAGATAACCCCCCCATGCAACAGGGACCCCCTAGAAAGAGCTGGCACCCATCTTCCATTCTGCACCTCTATTACAGTGTGCCTCCACCTCTTCCTGACCCCAGTATTTAGGGTGCCTCCCACCTAGGCAGGTTTCTAAGGGTACTGAGATGGTCTAGAAGACCTGGGGGCAGATTCTGGGGAAGAAGATATGATACCAGAAGACAGGCTGTTCCTGGGGACACAGCTCATCTTGGAAGGCTTCAGTGAGCAAGCTCTGTACAACTCAGAAAGTGTATTGAGTCCCCATTGGGCAGACAAAGCAGGGGCAAGACTGAGGGCACAGAGATGCCCTAAAAACAATTTTGAATTCCTCTTTCTCATCTCCAAATTAAAGTCTTAGACAGATGACCTGTTCTGGGAAGTGTCCCCGAACAGTAAGAGCTGCAAGCTGTTTCTAGAGAGTGCTGGGTGAGGTAAGGAGGGTCAGGAGTGGGGGTGTCGATATTTGCATTGTGTGCCTAGAGACTGAAGGCTTGTGAACTTGGGCAAGCATCCCAACCCCGGTTATTTTGACTGACACATAAACACTGTGAGGAGGTGTAGACAATGTTTACCTACTATACATACAGAAACCACATCACTTGGCACAGTGAGCCGTAAGCCACACCTCAGTTTTGCAAATGCAGAGAGAAGCTAGAGAGATGGCAGCAGTTATACATTAGATATTGAGATGCATTGTAGATCCTGAATTTAGCTCATGGGGAAGATCTGACGTTTGGACTACAGTGTCAAAGCTGAACATAAAATAAGCAGCTGGGATGCTATTGTGTAAGATTGTATCTAAGGGGATCTAATTGTAACTGCCAAGCACAGGGCTGGATACTATCAGTTCCGGTGTCCCCACTGACTCTGGATTGATTTCCTTGCCCTAATAGTTCTGATTCTCAAACCACAAGCAAGGAATTGAAACATTTCTTTCTTTCTTTGTTTGATTGATCTTTTGAGACAGAGTTTCTCCATGTAGCCCGGGTTGTCCTGGAACTCACTCCGTAGACCAAACTGGCCTGGAACTCAGAGGCCTGCCTACTTCTGCTTCTTGGTGCTAGGATTAAAGGCGTGCACCACCATCCCCGATTGAAAATATTTATTTTTATTTATGTGTGTACATGAGTTTATGTGCATCACATGTGTGCAGGTGCCCTCAGGGGGCAGAGGAGGGAATCAAATTCCATGGAAATGGAGGTAGAGGCAATTGTGAACCACAGCATATTAAGTACTGGGAACAGTTCCAGCTCCTCTGCAGGACCAGTAAGCACAACTAAGCAATGGCCTTTTCATCTGCCTCTACTTCCTTTTTATTTTAAAGTTTTCATATTATGTGTTTGAGTGTTTGCCTACATGGATGTATGTGTACCATGTTCGCCTGGTGCCCTGGAAAGCCACAAGAAGCCATAAGATCCCCTGGAACTGGAGTGACAGGTGCTGTGAGCGGCCGGAAATGGGAACTGGAAAGCAAATCTTGGACCTGTACAAGTTAAGAGCAGCGCATGTTCTTAGTTGCTGAGCCATCTCTCCAAGCCATTTACTCTTTCTTAACAAGACTCCAACCTCTCGTGCCTAAAGGACGTTGGAATGCAGCTCAGCAGACAAGTGCTTGCCCTAGCATGTTCAAGGCCCTGGGTCCAATCTACCCGACCATCAGAAAACAAAAGTAAACAAACAAGGAAGTAGGACTTTGTCCACACTATTGTTTGCTCAGAGAGTAGCAAGACATTTACTCCCAAAACATGCTTGGATTTCTACATATTCTTTAAACGTTCTGAGGTTATCCGTCTGCACAGGGAGTCCAGGGCTGACGTCCAGAGCTACTACTCCCTTAACACACATCTTTATGTTCTAGTGCACTGGCCCGGTGTCCTGGGAGTGACCACCGGCCTCAAGTGGCTATTTGAATGTCAATGATGTAAAAGGAAATACAGTTTGAAATTCAATCCTTCAGGGTCAGGCGATCGCCAGTGCCTATCCTCATGCCCAGAGCCTGCACCAGTCTTGTCAGACAGTGGCTAAGGACTCACTTCCGTATCCAGTAGGAAATGCAGAGTAGCTGTTAATGACATGAATGAAAAGAATCAATCCTAACTCATTCTACTAATGCCAAAGCTGTGAGTCAGAAACGCCACAAATCCTGAATCATACACAGGCTGCATCGATCTCATGGCTGCATTCCAGTCAAGTCTGTGGTATTTGTTTCTCCAAATTAATTATCTTAACTACTCCAACTGGGTGTCCAAGGTTGAATAGATAGGGTGTGTGACAGACATACTTCAGGGAAGGGAACTTTTTCCCAGTGTGTTCATATCAGACTCTTGGCTACTTTTTAGCAGACAAAAAGAGAGGGAGAGAGTTGTATTTTTTTTAAGTTTTTTTTTGTTGTTGTTGTTGTTCTTAAAAAATAAGCAATTGTGTTGGTTCCAAAAAAGGAAAGTGGGAAAATTGTAACAGTAAATGTTACATTCCCCTGGAATCCTGAAGCACAAACAGCAACTGAAATGGATCCAGCCATTTATAGGATTACAATAAACACACCTTTGTACCCGCTCTACCATTTACTGCCCAGATGATCTGAACACAGACAAAAAGAGCTGGCTGCGAGACTGCAGCGGCTTTCTTCATGTTTGGTTCACCCACTACTGCACGGAAGCCCCTAAATGAGCAATCATTGCGCTCTCCAGGAAAATGTCCTTTCCCTGCCCCCTCTGTAAACAGTTGAGAGATCTCTCCAAAGCCTTGAGTGAAGGTGGCTGGTTTAACCCAACACCTAAACTGAAGAACACCCCTAAATCCCAGCGTGGTTCCCCGATGTTTCTTCTTAGGGCAGAAAGCTATTACAACCAAAACAAATGTTTCTCCTCCGCAAATAAGTTCCCCATTACGTGGAAAGAAGTTCCTACAAAAAAAACGAGACTGGATTTGCAGCTGTGTCCAAGAAAGAGGCAAAACCAGAAAGTGGATTTTTCAATGGAGTCTACTTTATTGAGAGAACGCCTCCTTCGTCAAGACTTGCTTCAAAACTTACAAAGAAGGCTACTCAACGGAATTCATGTCTGAGTGAGAAAATAAAAGGGCGACCTGGAAGGACCCGGGCCACCCCAACTTCTACCACTGGAAATTGATCCAAAGAACTTTTCTGTCGGAGCCTAGCGAGTTGTGACAGAATCCGAGGTCACACCCAGGTCTGCACACCGTCCCCTACAGCCCACGTCGACGTCACCAAAATAGTGAAATAAACTAAGAAAAAGAGCAAGTTGGTTGTGTCCCCACGCACACATTAAAAATCGAGGGTTAGGGGTCCCATTTTTGCAACTCTTTATTAAGAACTTGTTCAGTCTTCCAGGGACCTGTTTTTTTTCCCTCTATAGCCTTGAAGAGAACAACAATCGCTTTTCGGTGTTCCCCACCCCAACCCTGTATTTTTCTTCCACCCCAGATCCTGTAGTTTCGGGGTGCACTTATAGAGGACTGGTGGAGAGCAGCGTCCCTCGCTGGTGGGGGCAGGAAGCGCCGCGTGCTCCCCGCTTCGCCGCTCTCAACCCAAACAATGGCTTCCCGCGAGGACGTGTGATCTGGGGCAGTTAGACCCCAGGGTCCTCGAAACACGCAGCCTCTCCACGCCACGCAGAGAGCGCCCAACCCCACGGACCGCTCCTCGCCGCCGCCACCGCGAACAATGCGCGCCCCGCCCCGCGCGCCTATTGGCCGGGTAGCTCCGGGAGCGCAGCGCGGGCGACTGCGACGCGCGTGCGCGGGGCGGGGCGCGGCGGGGGCGGCGCTTTGTGTGCGACTGTGGGCCGGGGTCTGCGGGGCGCGGGCCGCGGCGGGCGGCGGCATGGAGGAGCTGAGCAGCGTGGGTGAGCAGGTCTTCGCCGCTGAGTGCATTCTAAGCAAGCGGCTCCGCAAGGTGCGTGCGTCCCCGCCCGTCCCCCGCGCGCACCCGGCGCTCTGCGCGGCTCACCGCCCGCTCTTCTCTCCCCGCAGGGCAAGCTGGAGTACCTGGTCAAGTGGCGCGGCTGGTCCTCTAAGTGAGTCCTCGGTGCGCGTCCGCCTTCCCGCGTGCGCCTCCCGGCCTGGGTGGGAACAACTCGGGGACCCTCTCCTCTCGGGTCCGGGCGGGAAGTTCTGTGGCTCGAGACCCGAGGACGCCGGCCGACAGCGATGCCCTTTGTTTACGAGCCCACGGGGAGCGGGCAGGGAGGCCTCCAGCCCCGGCTCCCTCGGGCCCGGCCCTCCTCCTCCGCGCCGCGCGCTTCTGGCGCCCATTTGTTGCATGCGCCCCCGCCCTGGAGCCGGCCGTGGCAGGCGCGGGACACGGCCCCCTCCCCTTGCCCAAGTTACCCCGCTGTAACCTGAGATTCCTACTGGTAGGAGCCCCCCTTCCTCGCTCCCCTCTGCGCGCTTGCTTTCTTCTTAATGAAGGGAGGGACTCGGCCTTCCCCGGAAGGGGCTTCTTCTACAGCTGCCCCGCAACCTTCCTTCCTGGACCCCATCCCCTCCCGATGCCCCCCTCAAACCCCCATTGCTCTGCCCGTGCTCTCCGTGGTGTCCGCCACATTGTTCTGTCTGCTTCCCCAGCTCCCCCTCCCCTACCTGTCTTCCCTTCCCTCTCTGGCTCAGGGCCAGGCTCGGGGGATTCCCTCAGCAGCTTTGCTCTTTGTTGGGTTTGTTTTCTTCCCAGGCGCTGACTGTTGAGTCCCCTTGTGGCCTGCTGGGACTTGGGGCTTGAGGTGGCAGTTTGCCTGTGGGTTTGAGGCCATGATGCTAACTAACTTCAAGGGCTTCTGGGACCTCAGAGGACTGCCTGGGCTTGGTGCCCCCTTGCCCCCAGCAGGACTGTGGGAGCTGTCCCTGCAGCCCAGTTGGATGCTGCTCACCAGCCCTGGTCTTTGCTTTTCCAGACACAACAGCTGGGAGCCAGAAGAGAACATCTTGGACCCAAGGCTGCTGCTAGCCTTCCAGAAGAAGTGAGAACTTTAACAGCTCTCTGGGGGAAGGGAGAGTTGGGTGGAATTAATTGACTGGTGACATGGTGGCCGGGGGGCTGTGGCATGAGGCCCCATAAGTAGCCTGTGCTACTTGAGCGGCTACAGAGGCAGAGCACTTAAAGGCCCCCCGCAGACAGCCGGGACTTCCAAGATGAACCTTTGTGCAGACTCCAGTTTCTCTTGGCCCTTTCTGTGGAGTAACATCAGTGCTGATAGCAATTGGGTTTGCAAGCTTGCTGTAAAAAGTAGGCCTGTCCCTCTGTCCCCACCAGGATGGGTTGTGGCGCAGGAGAGGGCCCAGAGGGGCCTGAAACCCACAGTTCAGAGAGATGTGTGTGATGTTTTGCTCAAGCCCTGAAGCAGTGCAAGGCTTCTCTAGGATCTGCTTCGTAGTTATAGTTGACACTTCAGCTCTTAGGTGGGAGACAGAGGGTTGGGTGGGATGGCGTCGGGAAGGGTGTGTTATGGTCACCATCATCTGAGTGCTGAGGTTCAGGAACACAGCACCATGTGGGTGGCAGCAGAGACACCTTCCTGCTGCAGAAGCTGGCTCTGTCAGTAGAGGCAGATGAATGGTTTGCGTAAAAGCTTCTCCAGCTGGGGTCAATCTAGCCAGCTTGTTATCTGGGAGCCCAGCCTGTGTTTCTCACTGTTACAGGACATTTTGCAAAAAGGGTGGGGAGGGGGTAGGTTTTGGCAGGATGAGTGAGTGCTTGCGCTTACGGGAACTTAGAAAGGGGTAGCAGTGTCAGTGCCTTCCTTTAAATTTATAGCTTGATCCTCTGAGCCCTGGAGGGATGGCATCCTTGGGCCAGGTGTTACTGCACACATCTGCAGCCCCTGCTGATAGAGAAGCTGAGGTGGGGGGACCACTGGAGCAGATGGGAAGCCAGCTTGACCAGTGAAACAAGAGCCTGTCTCAAAGGCGTCGTCCTGAGGCAGGGACCTCTTTCACGTGGATTCAAAAATGCCATCATGGGAATAGGCTCTTTTACAACATGGGACAGAAAATCAGGATGGTGCGTGTTCTGTCTCTCCCTGCATTCAGACACATCCCTCTGGTGGTTAACTTCATGGTCAGGGAGGAACCACTGTGTGTAAGGAGGTCAGAGTCACAAAGAGGATAGCTAGGTGGTGGTCTGCCAGCAGGGCCTGGAGATGCCCCTTGAACTCGCGGTGAAGGTTAGCCTGGGGGTTTTCCTGAAGGTCTGTTCTATGTGAGGTCACTTTCCAGGACTCCAAGGAGGTGGTGCTTGGCTATTTTATTTTGCATGTGTCTGTTTGCTTGGGGGAAGGGGGGCAGGCATGTGCCATAGGCCTGAGTTGTTCTCAGTTTTTTAAAACATTTTTAATGATCTATTTATTCCTATTTTATGTGCGTCACTGTGTTGCTTGCATGTCTGTCTGTGTGAGGGTGTCAGATCCCCGGGAGCTGGAGTTATAGACAGCTGTGAGCTGTCATGTGGATGCCGGGGATTGAACCCAGGTCTTCTGGATCCACTGAGCCATCTCTCCAGCCCACTGTGTCTCTTTTCACCGTGTGGTTTCTGGGGATCAAAGTCAGGTTGTCAGGCTTAGCAGCGCGTGCCTTACCTGCCGAGCCATGTCACAGGGGTCTTTGTCACCAGGGGTCTTTTCCGATATACTCAGTGGGATAGCCTGAAATCTGAGCTTCCGTGACTTCGCAGCCTTAGCCCTGGGTTGCAGGGGTACAGACTCTGAGGCCAGGTTGACAGGGAGCTTGATAACTTCCTCGCAGAATGCTGGAGGTGTGTGAGGGATGCAGGAACGGGGTGATATAAGTGAGCGAATTGGCTTCGAGAAGCCTGACAAGCTAGTGTTAGCCACACTGGAGCCCTCAGCTCCTGGGCTAGCAGGTCATAGAGGGGACATACTGGAGGGCAGTCTTCTTGGGAATGGACACATTAGACAGGTAGCCCCAAAGGCGGCTTTAGCTCTGTTCTCCTGTCCTCAGCTCCGTTTTAGCCAAACATGAGTGAAATGGATTGCCTGCAAAGATAGTAGGGACCAGCACCTCTGAGCCAGGGTCTGGACCTCTGCTGCGGCTTTCCAATAGGAGTTTGCTGCAAAACTGACAATAAGCTCCTGCTAACTGGAGCTGCAGGAATCCCTCGGGAGCTGAGGGTGGAGGTTGGAGCCAAGGTTTGCAAGCAGAGCTTCTCAAAGCTGATTGGTGCTATGTCTCCAGGGAACATGAGAAGGAGGTACAGAACCGGAAGAGAGGCAAGAGGCCCAGGGGCAGGCCAAGGAAGCACACAGTCATGTCGTCCTGCAGCCGGCGCTCTAAGCTCAAGGTGAGTGGCCAAGGGCTTTGCACTCCTTACCCACCCATGCCTGTTTGGGTAGAGGTTCTTCAGGGGAGCTGTCGAGGTAGGCAGGCCTCTTTCCTGTTGCCCCTTCGGGCCTCTGCCGGTGGATGGCACCAGCAGGCAGCAGAGTGCATGTTCCTCCCATCCCAGGGCCTCCGTAGGTGCTTCCTGTCTCAGCCCAAGTCCATTCTGTAGTCTGTCCTCCCGGATAGTAACAGCAGACTTGGTAGAGGTGCCCAACACCCTCTCGCTTTGGAAACGCTCCACCGGGGAAACCTCTGTGCAGTAAGTGCTCGGGTTTGTGTAGGAATTATGGACAAGCCAGGCACATCCAGGGTACCAGGCCATGCAGGGTCGACAGACAGGCGGGGGAATAGGGGCAAAAGCAGTGATGCTATTCTATGCTAAGCCCGTCTCAAAATGTCCTGTTGATTCTCCTTGCTATGATGATAGACAGATGCCTTCCACATACTTGGCATCCTCCCTCTTGCCCTCCCCCGCCCCGTGACAGTTCAGGAGCAGAGCAGGACAGGGAAGGGGCTTCCATTCATAGGCTCGAGCATGCTTTTGTCTGACAGGGAAGGGGCTTCTGTCTATAGGCTCGAGCGTGCTTTTGTCTGTTACTCAGACTTCATTCCACAGGGCTTCACTTCCTGTGGCCAAAGTAGAAGTGTGAGTCTAGCCTGACACCACCATCTTTCCTTCTAGCAGAAAGATGTCAGCCAGAGGGGGCCTGTGACTGAGAAGACATTTCTGTGGGTTGATGAAGCTGAGGGAGGGGGTCTGCTAGGGAAGCCTAGGGCCCCAGGGTTTGATGGGATCAGCCCCGACAAGTGTGGTCACTCCTCCCTGCCTGCTGGGGCCTGGAGGACCCTGGTACCATGGCTGCAGGACACCTGGTGCTACCCAGACAGATTTGAATCGCACCCATTTGTCTTTTCAGGAGCCAGATGCTCCCTCCAAGTCCAAGTCCAGCAGCTCTTCGTCCTCCTCCACGTCGTCCTCCTCTTCTTCGGATGAAGACGAAGATGACAGCGATCTGGACTCCAAGAGGGGTCCCCGGGGCCGTGAGACCCACCCCGTGCCTCAGAAGAAAGCCCAGATCCTGGTGGCCAAGCCAGAGCTCAAAGATCCCATTCGCAAGAAAAGGGGACGCAAGCCCCTGCCCCCAGAACAGAAAGCGGCTCGGAGACCCGTAAGCTTGGCCAAGGTGCTGAAGACCACCAGGAAGGACCTGGGGACCTCAGCCAGCAAGCTGCCCCCTCCACTTAGTGCTCCTGTGGCAGGCCTGGCAGCCCTGAAAGCCCACACCAAAGAGGCCTGCAGTGGCTCCAGCACCATGGCGACCCCAGAGAACCTGGCCAGTCTCATGAAAGGCATGACCGGAAGCCCCAACCGTGGTGGCATCAGCTGGCAGAGCTCTATTGTACACTACATGAACCGCATGAGCCAGAGTCAGGCTCAGACCGCAAGCCGATTGGCACTCAAGGCCCAGGCCGCCAACAAGTGCAGCCTCGGGCTGGACCTGAAAGTGAGGACGCAGAAAGGGGAGCTGGGGGTGGGTCCTCCAGGAAGCAAGGTCCTGAAGGCCCCTGGCAGTGGGGCTGCAGAGCAGCAGAAAGGGGGCAGTTCAGGGGGCCCAGGTTCCCAGCTGGCCCCCACTCAGGAACTGAGCCTGCAGGTCCTGGACTTACAGAGCGTCAAGAACGGTGTGCCTGGTATGGGCCTGCTCTCCCGCCACACCACAGCCACCAAGGCCATTCCAGCCACCAACCCAGCCACAGGGAAAGGTCCTGGGGGCGGCCCCACAGGGATAAACATGACCGGCATACCCACAGACACCAGCAAAGGCGAAAAACTGGCCTCCAAGGCTACAGCTCTGCCCACCCCTTCTGTCAAGAGGGACAGTGTTAAGTGTGTCGCCGCCTCCGGTGGACAGGAGGGCCACGCGGCTGCGGGAGAAGGCCGCAAGGCCCCTGCGCTGTCCGAGATGAGCACGGGAGAGGAGAACAGTAGCTCAGACTCAGACCCTGATTCCTCCTCGCTCCCCAGTGCCGGGCAGAACCTGTCGGTATCCATCCAGACCAACCAGGACTGGAAACCTGCCCGCAGTCTCATCGAGCACGTCTTTGTCACAGATGTCACGGCCAACCTCATCACTGTCACAGTGAAGGAATCCCCCACCAGCGTGGGGTTCTTCAACTTGAGGCCTTACTGAGACCGTCGCCCAGGTCCGACCCACCTTCCGGTCTCTGGTTTTGCTTTGATGTCTGACCTGGGGGCCTGCTCTGCCCTGTCTTGAGACTTCGGGCTGGGAACTCGTTTCTCTGATGATCCTACCTCTCTGGGCCTCCGTTCTGCTCTGTCCTGTTGCCTCAGGAAATCTGGTTGGCCACTGGCTCAAGACTGTCTGCTTGAACAAGGCCTCATCAATACATATCCCTCCTTGGCCTAGTGAGACCCTCCCCCACCTTATTAGCCCAACTACTTTCAGGTGGGCCTGGGGAGGGCCTTCTGATACAGCCTTCTCCCCAGCCCTGTGGAGGAAGAGACAGGGCAGGCTGGACCTTCTCCCAAGCCCAACAGTGACGGGGCCTTTGTGGTGAAGTGGGGATTCTGTTTTTGGCAGATGAGACACTGACCTCATCATAAAAGGATGATCGTTGTGAGATTTGATTCAGGGACCCTGCAGAAGTCTACAGAACCCTGTGTGACTCTTCAGAGTTTCTGTCCCTGATGCGGGGTCGTTCCTGACCACAGCTGTGGCCCCAAAGTCCAGCCAGGGTTTGAAAGGCCTCATCCCAGCACCCAGATGTATCTCCGTGCTACTGGGTTTGGGAAGAGAGGAGTCCAGTGCGGCTGCCTTCCTGCAGGCAGGCCCCAGCCCCAGTGAGAAGTGACCCTGTTCTGCTCTGGGTCCAGACCTGCACCCCTGCTTAGGCCCACTAGAGTGCACTCCTCTGGGCTGCAACCCAGAGGAGGCTGAAGTAGCAGTTTGGAGTCCTGGGCAGGCGATCTTCCCCTCTAGTTTGATTGCTAGGGCCAGGTAAGGCCCCCTAGTAGCTGCAGTGCAGGAATGCAGGTGCGCCCGCAGGCTTGCCACCCCGCTGCCTGGCTAGACTGGTGTCTCTTAGACTGTCGGGCAGGTTTTTTTGTAGTTGAGTCTGGTGCAAAGCCCTGCCTACTGAATGGGCCATTCTTGGGTACCATTTTCCCTGACAATCCTCTCCCACTTTCGGGAGCTTGTGTTTTCTTCCTAGCTGAGAAGCAATATCCCTGTGCCATTTATGTGGTGGGACAGTTTGACAGCCCACCTGGCAGGGGGGTCCTGATTCCTCCCCCTTCCTCCAGTTCTGAGCCCCTTTCTAGATGCCTTCTCCCTGTCCCCCTTCCCAGGTAGCTGTCTTAAAACTACCTTGTCAGATTGCTGGCCAATGTCAGGACCTCTGTCCTGGAATATCACCTTGTGGCCATGACAATCTGGTCAGTGAGTCTGTGATGCCAAAAAGTGGGGGTGGTGTGAAACCCTTGTTTCTGCTTCTGCCATTGACTGGTCAGCCGGCAGGTGTGGTCTCTTCATTCCTGTTGCCTTGAAGGGAAATGTCCCCTTCCAGAACCAGCCGAGACAGTGGGCTGTGGTGTCTGGAACCTGCCACACTTTCAAAGTACCCCCCCCCCCAGTAGTTCACCCCACACACACCAAATAAGAGATGGTCTTTATGCGACCAAACTGACCTCAACACTGTGCCTTTTGGAACAGACCCATATCCATGGCTCCTGAAAGAGGCTCACGATATGCAGCCTCTGGATCCAGCACCAAGGGACCATGCTACTGCCAGCAAGAGCTGTCGCTGGAAAGACTCCAGGGCCAGGAAGCATGTAGCAGGGGGGGAAGAGTTGCCTGCTGGGCCATTGGCCTCTCTCCCTGTCTTCAGCCAGGGTCCTCTGCTTCCTCATCCAAGGTTTGCAGCTTCTTTTGTACCACACACTGCCTTAAAGGCACCTCCATATCTTTTGGGGGTTCCATGAGCTGTTGGAGAAGTGACCGTGACTGGGATCTAGTTTGACTGACTTTGTTCCCTGCTGCCAGGTCTCCAAACCCCGATTAGGTGCCTTTTATTTTTACCAGCTATTTCAGTCCCAAAGGTGAAATCTACAAATACCCTCCTCCCAGCCGCTTTGCCTTCTTGTGGTGTTTTCCTTGGTGCTTGTGACCCCAGTGGTCGACTGTTACAAAGCATGTGTGTGTAGTGTGCCCACATGAGAACCCGCTGGAGAGGCACACCACATGCTCCGGGTGGAGTTCTCGTGTTTACCAATAAATAAAAGTAGTTGCTTTTTAATGGTTTTTTATTTGCTGCTACCTTGCCCCTTGTGTGTGTGTGTGTGTGTGTGTGTGTGTGTATAGCTAGCGTGAGTCCCATATCTTACAAGATTCTAAGGGTCCCAGATGTTCTGTGCCACATTTTCATGCCAAATTGATGTTTTAATTCTGTCTTAGTCCTTTCAAGACAGGGTCTCTTCCTGCCCAGGTTGTCCTTGAACTTCTGGCAGCCCTCCTCAGTTTCCCTAGTGTCAAGAATACAGACACCTTTTTGTCTGCTTCTGTACCTGGTAGGAAAAGTGGCCAGCCTGTCTTCCTTGGGAGTATTGGTTTAAAAAAATAATAATCTTTGGTACCAAAAACAATGCCCCTTCTTGGATATACTCCAAATTCCAGTCTTGGTTGGAGAGCTCTGGTCCTGAGGTTTGTCAGGAAGGAAATGTTGAACTCTGAGCCAGTGTCAGTCATCAGCTTGGTTTCTTTAGACGGTTGTTTATGTATGCCCCTTTAAATGGGGGGTTGCTCCCTTTCCTAGGGAGTGAGCAAAGAACCCTGGGAAAACTTAGGGTCTGTGGTGTTGGAACAGAACAGTCCAGCTGCCAAGGAAATACCTACCCCCAGGAAGTCCCTCGGGGTGTGGGGAGTAGTGCGGCCCGGTGGTTCCCTGATAGCCATATTTAGCCAGATGCATCTCACAGTTCTAGGGTTTCTAGTGGCACTAGCCTAGATTATAGGGACTTTGGACCGGTGTTAATTTATTTTGCCAGGGAAAGACGGTAAATGATTTAGGAAAATTCATGTCTTTTTGCTATTCTTAGTATTAATAAATATTTTTGTAGACTTTTGACTTGGTGTACATTGTAAGTAAACAAAACAGTCCTTCCTCCCCCCCCCCCCCATCATGGGGCAAACCGCCCATCTGGACATTGGACATGCGCATAGTGGTAGCATTGGAGGAAAGAACTGGAAATGGCTTAGCCAATCAGAGGTGGGAGGGAGAAAAAGGGGGAAGGGCATCCTTGCAAGGAAGAGGCACGGTTTCAAGAGCAAATACCAGCGCCTCTGATCGACTGCAAGATCGCAGGCTCAAGTGTCTGGAGAAAGTTGGCCATGACGAAAGGTGCAGCCTGCATCTAATGCATAGAAACCAAGTGTGCCGCCTGGCGGTGACGGCACACGCCTTTAATCCCAGCACTTGGGAGGCAGAGGCAGGCGGATCTCTGTGAGTTTGAGGCCAGCCTGGTCTACAGAGCAAGTTCCAGGACAGGCTCCAAAGTTACAGAGAAACCCTCTCTTGAAATAAATAAATAAATAAATAAATAAACAAACCAAGCGTACCACACAAAGTTGTCGCCATACAAAAGTTCAGTTTCTCAGAGCATCCAAGAAGCTAAGTTTGAGAAAGCCTGGTTTAGTGGGAAAGATGATGTATAATTTTTGCCCACTAATAACACTACTGGTCAAAATGAATGCTACAGGCCTCCAGCCAATACAGGGAGCGGCTGTGCCTTGCTCTAAGGAAACCAACAGCCTCACCTCCACTGTCCCAGTGAGGCCAGTTGGGAAGACACCGGGAAGAGTGGGAGGCTTTAATCCAGGGACCACTTAGGCTCCTAACCCTAAGAAAGGATGAGGAAGGGGATGGGTGCTTATTCCCTACCCTCCCTAGTCCAAGACTCGCCTTTCTCTCTTCGGCATGAACTTATTCAGAATTTCCTCTGGCCTCCCAGAAGAATGGAGTTTTGGAAGTCTAAGGAAGATGGACCTGCAGACCCACCCCCGGCATAAAGACTGTTGGGATTAGGGTTCTCTGGACAAGTTACTGACAGAAAAGCAAACTTTGCTTCAGAAAGGCCATTGTGTGTGGAATCCAATTCTTGATTCTTGCAAAGCAGGCGCCTGGCAATTTGATTTCTCTTTTGTTGTCTTCAGTGCCTGTTTCATTTTTGGAGAAGGTGGACTAGGGCAGTTGAATCCCAGATCTGCCCTAGGGGAACAAGCTAGCAGGGCAGGAGCAGGTGCTGGCCCTGGTTGGTCAGCTGGGCTCTTTGAGAACCTATGTCTAAAAGGACAAGGTCTCCAGACCAGAGTTAGGGGTGAGGCTGGTCAACATTGATCATTATTCATTTCTGTGCTGATTTAATCAATCCACCGCTAGAATTAATGGAGGGGACCTGGGAAGATGGGTGCAGCAGGGCTCTGGACCACCGGACACCACCTTCCCGCTCTCTACCCGTAGTGGTCGAGGCGGATTCCCAAAGACACAGAGATGCTGCCTGGCGATGGGTGGTAGGTGGAAAGGAGGTTTTTCTTTGCGCCTATCGGGAACCAGAGAGGGGGAGGGGTGGCACTAGGGACAGGCGCTGAGACCGTCGCCTGTAGAGGGCGCCCGCTTCCCACGAAGTTCGGCCTGAGATTTTGAATGTTGGTGGGGAGGAGGGAAAATGTGCCCGCTGTCCTAGACTGTCCCGAACTCAGTTGCACGCTCTACAGCTCTGCTGCTCCGAGCAGCCCCCAGTCGACTCAGTCTCTGGCCGCGGAATGTAAGCCCAGGCTTCAGCCTATGGCTTCTCACTACTGTCAGCCAAATTTCCATCTTTGATGGCACCCAGACCCTTCGGGCTCCCACTCATTCCCACCCTGGGCACCGCTGTATCCGAGCCACCTCTAACCTGGAAGACTTTTTGATGAAACGAAGAAAGCCGTGGATTCACCCGCAGAGAGCTGGGGCAGGCTTGTAAACCATGGGCGTCCAGGGCACAGCACCAGGCCTCCATCAGAGCTGCGCACTATGAGCATCAAAAAGTCCGAATAAAAACGTCTCTTTGCAGAGCCATAAGTATTCCATTCAACCAGTGTTTGTGTTGGCCCTGGCTCAGCTCCTGCAGCGGCTTGAGCAGGTCCTGCCAATGAGGACATAGGGAAATCCGCCTGAGCAAGGGCGGTCGGGGGGCCAGGGGTCCCCATACCCGGTCTTTGTTCTGCGGGAGAATCTGCCCCGGAAAATTCGCTAAGGAAGCTCTTGAGTCCAAGTTAAGGTTGGCGGTGACCAAAGAAGGGCGAAATCGCGCAGGATCGGTGCAGGTCTCATCCCTATATTCAGGTGATAACAGTGGTGGCCCCGACTGTAGGGCTGACTGCTGAAGTCACTAGACCCAGACCCAACCACCCCACTGCTTTCTTGACTCCCTTATAGCCGTCGCCCTCCGGTGGGCCCAGAGCGCCTTGAGGTGGCCTAAGAAATAGACCTTGGACCTCTTGGCGTCTGAGACCCTGCTCGACAAGCTGACCGCTCAGAGTCCGAAGGGCACTCGATGCTCAGTGACTCCGCTGAGGCAAATTCAGACCTCAGGCGTCGACCCAGGGCCTCCCACGCAGGCCACTGAACTTGAGAAGGGAGCCGACAGGACTCTGCCAATGGCCTGGCCACTGCTTATTGGGCCAAGGGCAAAAGATGTGACCTGGCCCCCATCGGGCCTCCCCTTGGGCTCTGCGGGTTCTGACGGATTGCGATGGCTTCTTCGCAATGGAGCGACGTCTGCCCAGGAACATAGAGGTAGAACCAGGTTCACTGTGAGGTCCTCTTCGGGAATCCGGAGTCGTGTGTGCAGCCACCTTGCCCACCCCACCCCCTCAAGAAATCTGCAGCCTAGAGGATCGAGAACACCCACCACGAGCATCCTACTCTGTGTTCCCCCTCGACAGACCCTCATCCAACCTTGGGGTATCTTCTGGAAAGAACACCAGGGTCTAAGAAGCCTTAGGGACTGGGGGTGGGAGCGCAGCGCGGGACTGAGGATGGCGGGCGGCTCTGGGTTCACTAATCACATCAGCGCGCTCTGCGCCGGCTCCAAGCAGGCAGTTGCCTAGCAATACCCGCGAATTCAATTCCTCAATCAATAGACGGAGGCTCTGCATTTCGGGGACCTCTGGCGAGGCTGTGGAGGTCTGGAGCACAAGTCCTATGACAGCATTGGGGAGCAACGCTTAGATAGCCGGCAGTGAGTCTGCAAGGCTCTTGGGTGTCAAGAGCTATGGACCGCTGACATAGAAGCGGGTGTGGTATTGGGGAGCAATCCTCCGTCAGGCGGAGTAAAGGAGCCCAGAGGTAGAGCATATCATCTCAGGGATCCCCGAATTCTGTCTGGGTCCCAAAGAAGTACAGCCAGTAGTGAAGACAGCCTCCCAAGAGAGCTGAAAACAGTCATGACTCCTCTGCAACCCACCTCCCCTCACACTCCCACAGAGTTTCCTAATTGGCAAAGGGCCTTTTGGGGGAATCCAACCCTACTTTAGAGTATGGGGGGGGGTAGGGGCACCAAGTGGGTAGTGAGAGAGGAGGCAAATGTCATTCCTTTCCAGGAACTCTACACTGTTTGGGGAGGAATAAATGATAGATAGATAGATAGATAGATAGATAGATAGATAGATAGATAAAATAATGAAAACCAAGACCCATGTTTATTTACAAAGTATATATTTAAACACGTAAAAAGTGATACTGGATACAGACACATTCACAACCCAAGAAGAAGATAGGTACCGAAGTTTCACTCTTGAGCTGAGTCGCGATCAATTCGAGATTTGTATATATCTGAAAATTCAAAAACCCAACAACGTGCTCTGCCCGTCTGCGTTTGCAGACTCGGAGCCATGTGGCCCCAGACCCCTGTCCACCCCCCACCCCCAGGTCAGCCTCTCAAGAGCGAGCTAAGGAGACACACACAACGGCCATGAACAGATGGCAGGACGAAGGGCAGTGAGGGCAGAACCAGGAATGCTGAAGGGAAGGAAGGTGCCAGAGTGAGGAAAGAGGAGAGAGAGGAAGTCGTCGGCAGTCAGGTAAGGGACTCCTGTCCCACAGTTACGGTCCACGCGGTCACAGATGTGCCCTCCAAAAGCAGGTCTACCTGAAAATAGGGTCGACATCTAGACAGACACACGATCAACGGCGCTTCTTTATACAAAGTCGAAAATACCAGTTTT